GGGTCAAGAGCAGCTTTCAAAGGAACGTATTTCTTAGACCATTAATGCCTCTAGAAATAAGAATATTAGAAATCTTTAGACCATCAAAAAAAAGTCTCGAAGTATGCAAAGCTAAATTAATAGAAAAACCTTTGTACCAAATTAATTTAAAACAATCACGAAGAGAAAAATTTTCATAAATAAAATGATAAACAATTTTATTAGAATATAATTCTTCTTCTTTCAAAAAATCACAAATTTTTCCATCAATAACAATAGAAATGTTGTAAAAAAATGTAAACATTGATTAGAAAATTTCAATGTTGAGGAAAATCCAATTACCATTAATTAAAACATCTTTAACTTTGATAGAACTAGGGAATTGAAAATAATTAAAAATTGAAATCCCTAAAATCTCATACAAAAAAAAAAAACCTTTAATCCAAGGATCAAACAAAAATGGAAGACTAATATTGCATGTTATTTGAAAAGAATTGACATTTTTTAATTCTAGATATTAATAATGTCTTTCCAAAAAGAGAAAACCATGGATATGTGTTTTATCCAAATAGATCCTTAATAATCTAATTAACAATTAGCTAACAAAGAATTAAAATTAAAATCTCTCCAAATTATCTTATCTTCAAATATAAAATAAATATTATCTAGAGAAGGAATGTCAATAACTCCCAAAGACTTAGGCAAAGTAATGGTACTAAAAAATATTAATCAAATTTTCTAATTATAATTTTGCCAAAAGAAATTACTAATTAAATTGTTAATTATTTCCTTAATGCATTTAGGCAAAGAAGTGGAACAAAACAAATAGTAAAAATAAGTTTTAATGATGAAGTTAATTATTTGAATACGACCAATCATAGATACAACTTTTTGTTTCTAACTGACCAACCAAATTCTAAGTTTGTCAATATTAATATGAAATCCATTGAATTGAGCTTTGAACTCTTAACAATAATATCAAGATAAGTGCATGACAGTCTTAGTAGGAAAACCACCAATATCATAAAGATTTTGTTGAATAGTTGAATAATTGTTTTAGAGAAACAAATAACAAATTTAGAGAAATTAATCACTAAATTAGAGGCAAGACTAAACTTATTCAAAATAATTGTCAAATGAAAAATAAAAGAAGGGGCAACATTGCCAAATATCAAAATATCATCAATATAAATAAATTGATTTGCTTTATTAAATATATGTCACACATAAAAAAATTTGAATGCATCCAACATAGAAGAAAGAGCATCCATAATAATGACAAATAAATAAGGTGAAAGATGACAACCTTATCGTAAATCAAAGAAAGAAAAAATGGCCATTTATTTCTCCATTAATAATAAAAAAACAAACATTTGCAGTACAAGCTTTAATAAAACAACTAGAATTAATAGGGAATCTTAATTTAACAAATGTATCATAGAGAAAATTTTTATTAACCATATCAAAAGCCTTTTAAGGTCAATTTTAAAATAAAATATTTTACTAGAGCTAAAAGAATTAAAATCATATAAAAACTCATTAGACATAATAATATTGTATATACTATCTCTACCTTTAAAAAAAAAAAAGCTAGAGCAAATATTAGAAAGAAATAGTTTAATTCTATCCACCAAAAGTTTGACAATAACTTTATACATGGTATTAAAAAGAGAAATATGATGAAAATGATTAAAATTTTGAGCACTTTACATTCTAGGAATCGAAGTGATGCAATATTGTTTAAGTTTATTATGAAGATTGCTATACATAAAAAAAATATTTGATAATATAATTACTATCATAACCACTAATATCCCACACATCTTTAAGAAATTTGAAAGAAAAACCATCCGGACTATGAGATTTATTACTATTAATACAATAAAAAGTATTTTTAATCTCCTTAGGATACAAATATTTAATTAAGTTCTTTTTATCAGAATTAAAAATATAATTAAAGATAGGAATACTATAAAGAACCGCATAGAAAACATTAACATAATTATTAAAAAGAGAAGTGAAAAAAGAGATAACTTCATTAGCAACTTCTTTTTGATGATAAACATAATCACTATAAGCACAAATTTCTTTAATAATACTAGAATTATATCTAATTTTATTCTTGTAGTAAAAAAATTAATATTGCTTTCAGTCTTAGATAACCAATCACATTTAGCCATTCACTTTAACCATTTTCAATTACAAGAAAAGGTATTATGAACATCTTTTTGGATAATAGAAGCTTGATTAAGCAAATATTTGAAAAGAAAATTTGTATTCAAGCTTTTCATAATCACACCTTGCTTACTTTTTAAATTTGAGATCAAGTTTAAAAGATAATTATAACATTAATACTACAAACAACATTAAGCAACATTAATAATATCAAGAAGCTAGAGTATTGACTCCAATAATTTTTATATAAAAATTTGTGCCTCAAATTATAAGTATTCCACAAAGAAATTAAAATAGGAGAGTGATCTGAAGTAGAAAAATTCTAAATTTTGAAAAAAAAAATCAAGAAAAAAAAACACCCAAGAAGTATTGCAAAAAGCTCTATCTAAAAGACATCTTATGGGATTATCAAGTTGATTATTGAACAAAAAAAAATCAAACTAGTATTTTGTAACTCTATAAATTAGAATTAAAAATATATTTATTAAAATAAAATAATTTACTATGAATATGTGATATACCACCTACATTTTCATTAATTCCAAGGATACAATTAAAATCACTTAAAAGAACCTAGTGATCATCAATATTATTAGAAAAATGAGGAAACTGAATCTCATAAATCTTTCATAATTAAATCACTATTATCAACATAAATGAAAATAATATAGAATTTAACAGAAGAAGAGAAAGTGACATGACTATGAAAGTACTGAATATTAACATCCAAATAAATGAAATACAAAATATCAGGTTTCCATTTAATCCAAATACACCCATGACCATCCAAATCAAATGTATGCATATTGCCTTGATTATGAAAAAGATCAAATTGCATAGTGGAGAAATTATCAGAAATAGAAGATATAAAAAGCTTTGTTTAAGAAAGTTTGATCAAATATGCTCAATTTTCATGAAGAATTCTCTTACAATTAGCAATACACGAATCATTATTAAATCCACAAAATTATGATCCAAAATATTTGGATTTAACATAAATAAATATAAGAAGAAAGAGAACTAAAAAAAATGAATCAAAGCTAATGAGTTTATCAACTTTAGACATCCATTTCTATGCCTGTGAAGAGAAAGGTGAAGTAACATGAACAAAATAAATAACATCATTAAAGTCATTTGAAATAATATTGTCATTAGAAGTATTAAGAATACTATTTATAATGGTATTATTACTTGTGTCGTATGCAACAATAACAAAATCATTACCACTATCCAATATAAAGCCATCTTTTAGAATATGATTATCATAACCATCAACAATGTTATGCTTATTACTGACATCCAAACTATCTTAAACGTTGGCGATGTCATTAAATCCCATATTAACTCAAAATGTAACGAAATTTATATTATTAAAATTAAAAACCACAATAACATAATGACTTTCTCCAATATTCTCATTCATATCATTATTAGTAGAATACATCATTAACTGAAACATCAATATTAAGGCTAGGTGCAACATCATTAATAAAACTATGAACAACAGAAGTCGGAACAGTAACAGGAACAAAACTAGAAACAAGAAAAGAAGGTTTACTCCTACTTCTATTAATTCTTTAATTATTTATATTATTATTCCTACCACTAAATGTAGGTAAAATAGGAGCAGAATGATGAGTATTTGCTATATGACAAGATCAGGAATCATGAGCGAATGTGGAACAAGTATCACAAGAATTTAATTTCCACTCATACAACACTAGTAAAATAAATTCATGCCCAATTATCAAGAGAAATATAATCGGAGAGATGAGATTTTTTGATAATTTGAATATTAACTTTAGAAAAAGAGAGAAATGCACATTTAGTTGTTAAAGAATCAACAACTAGAGGAAAAACTAACTTTACTAGCAATGTTATAAATACTAAGTTCATTCCAACAACACAAAAGTTAGTTAGGGAATTTCACCTAAATGGCAATGATTTTAAAGTCCTCTTTAAGTGGCCAAAAATCAGAGATCATCTTTTAAAGATAAATGAATTTCTATATTTGAACTAAGAGTCACCCATTAAAATTATTTCCAAATCTTCTTCATAATTAAATTTAAACAAAAGAAATATTTTGTAGATAAAAAAATCAACCACACCTTTTAATTTTCACATTCTATTAATCTCTCGCTGAAAAATTACCATAGAATGGTCTCTTCCCAAGTGTATATCCAAATTAGGCCAAATTGCATTGTTTTGATCCTTTTTGAACTTCAAGTTCAAAGAAAAAAAACTTATTTTGTGAACAAGGAATATAAGAAAAATCAAAGTTAGAAGAACTATTAAGACATGAAACTAAACTCTTCCACTTGAGTGTTGGAATAGGGCCAAGAATCGACCGAGCAGAAGTAGAACTAAGTGGAAGAAAAATAAAATCCATCTAATAAAATGGGCAAAGAAGTCCCAAATTTGAAAGAATAACAAAAAAAAAGGAGAAATAAAAAGAAATAAAGAACTTTCCCAAGAGAGGGAAAACAAAAAGAAATGCGGAAACTCTAGAGAGAAACATTGAAACTCTAGTGAGAAGCATGAGACGTCAAAACTTCTCCCTAAATCTTGCTATGGAGCTCTTTGCCCGTAATGTTTCTCCAAGATCGAAAACTTTTCCTGAGACAAAGAGACAAAGAGACAACCACCCGAGGGAAACACGAATCAAAAGAACAAAAATCTATGAATACCAAAGTCGATCAAAATAAGTGATACAAATCTTCTTCCCAAAAGAAATGAAGGAAAAAAATGAATTCTCACGGAGAACCCTAGCGATGCTCCAAAAATTGCTAGATAATCACTTCCGCAACCCTAGCAACGCTCCTTCTATCGTCTTTCATTCTTTAACCTAAATATTCACAACACCTTAATTTTTTATCTGTCCATCATCCTATTTAAACTTTAATTCCACAACTCATTCAACTCTCAACCATCATGGACATAGACCCAACTATCTTTCTACTTAAAATCAAAAAAAAATTCTTTATCAATTTTGATAAAAAAAAATGATCAATCTAAATTTTAAAACCATTAACTTTAATTTAACATGAGAGCATGGCTTTTCCTTTCCTCAAATTAAAATTTATGGCCTTAAATGGGCCGGCCCGTGCATCCGGCCTGCCAATACATTTATTTTCAAGACTTCCCGCTCTTTCGAAACAAAGCATAACAAAAAAACAAAACAAAAACCTGAGCAACGTAAAAATGATTTCACGAGCAAGACTGAAAACAATCCCTAAATTACTAGAAACAAAAAATGGAAATTACTCGCCGAGCGGGATGCATCGGTTTCAACTGGATTAGGGCACATAAGACTCTCGCCGTTGAGGTGCAGTAGGGTTTGATTTCAGGAGATGACTTCTCCTCAGGGATCCAAGCTGCCGCCAAATACTCCGTCATCAAAGGCACTCTCAATCTTCTTCCTCTTTTCTTCCATTCTGATCCGAAATATTAACGCTCTTTGGATTGCTGAATTTTTACGTTTTCTTACCCGCACAATTCCTTTTGTTTAAGGTTCTAGATCTGACAATGCTTGTTATTTCCAGATTGAACTTGAGTGTACATTGTGTTTGTGTTCAGAAAATGATAAATAAAGATCCTTGTTTCTAAAAGCTTGAAGCATTTGTGATGGATTTTGAATCCTGTTTTTGTTGTTTTTTTTTTTTCAATTACAGGATTCTCCTACATCGAACTTTTTTAACAACTTGTCTCCAATAAACGTGATTAGCAGCAGGTTAAGCAGCCAAGCTTTTGATAGCGTTGATATTCCATCCCCTCAACCGGTCTTCGCAACACCACAAAATCGCTTGATAGATTCAAAACTGTGGAGAAGGTAACAACTTGTGGCCTCATGTTCTGTTTGAGGAATGGAAATGAATAATGCAGTATGCTTGTTTTGGTGTTTGTTTAGGTCTCAAACGCTGTTCTTTCCTTGTTGTGAGAAGCCCTTCACGGGTGATGCAGATCTTGCTGCCACATCTTCGGAGTATCCTTGCATGACCAGGCAATTTATTCCAATTGCAGCTGTTCAATCAAGTAATGGTAGTGAGAAGAAGCTTAATAGTGGTCACCATCCTCAGGATGAAGTTTGCAGGAGTCATTCGAACAGTGTGGATGAATTTTTGTCCATTCCCAGTGAAGATTGTGAAAATAACTCTTGCTCGCCTGGTTTTTTCTTGGGAGAAACTGATGATTTGGTTCGTGATAAAGATGCCATTCCTTTTAGCAGCAATGGGGATCAGATGGCATACCCCAATGAGGATTCTGCACAAGTTACGGAGATGGCCTTTGGCATCAACGGTGATCAGATGGCATACCCCAATGAGGATTCAGAACAAGTTCCAGTGATAAACTCTTCTGCCACTGTAACCAATTTTGTGGCCGAATACACCAAGCAATCAGAACTTGTTAATGCTGAACTGAGTTCCAACTTAAATGTTGGTGATCAAAATTCATCATGTCAACTTGAGAAGGATTCTGCCAAGCAGAAGCCAAGTATTCAAATTGTGCCTGCTGCTTTTGAAGAGAATGAAAAGAAGGGAGGACTACTTGGCAGGAAGGTTAAAGCTAAGTCAAATTCCTATGTAAATTCAATTTCTAGTAGAGATGATGATCCTATCACTTTTGATAGGAAACTATCTAATCATTCCCATGTTCCAAACACTATGAATTTTAGTAGTATGTGTCATGTGGACGAATGCCCAAGCACTTCCAGTACTTATGTGCTTGGAATGCAGGATGTTGTAAGTACAGAATATTTGGGTAAACTGGGCGGTGTTTATGAGGCAAAATGTGAAATTCCAAGAAATTCTCAGTTCCACACTAATCATCCTGGTATATCGAGTCAGATTAGTGATGCATCTGGCAAGAACCAGAGAAACTATGATCAGGAGGTACAAATTATGTGTTTAACTGCACCTATGCTTTCAATATAAACTAGCATGAATTTTTTTGGTTCTGTGCCAATAGTTTCATATTAATTAATCAATTAAGTTCAAAATTTTCAAAAAATCTCAAATTGGATCAGATAGTGATGCTGCAAATGATACTGATCCTTTCAATGCTTATTGTTCTTATTTCTTTACAGTATAATTGCAATTCATTTTCTTCATGTTTAGGATATGACCCAGCATAGTCGCGGCATGTATAAACGTCTTCAGTTTGAGGATTTTGAAAAGAAGGAACAGAGTATTGCATACGCTGGAAACTGTACGAACTTAAAAAGTCCTCGTTTCATGCCAGTGACAACAATGATATCTTCTAATATGGGAAGTTCACATGGTTCTACTACAAATACAATTGCAATGTCTAGCACAGTTCAGTCGATTCAGTCCCTACCAGGAAATATTTCCTGCAATTATTTGGTTAAGACTGATGGTTCTGAGCAAAGCAAGGGAAGATTCACTGCAGTGGTTCCTAGATCGTCTGGTATTGGCTTGCACTTAAATACCATTGGCATGACTGGGGAGATGAATGGCCACATAGATATGAAGATGCCAATGGAGGGTTTAGGTGACAATGGGAAAACATTTTTGGACATTGGTTGTGAAGTACTGTCACAGGAATCGAAGGATATGATGGTCTTAAGAAATGGAGCTAGAGAAGTTTCAGTCCAATTACAATCTGATTCTGATGATTCCTCATTTAATTCAATGGAGGAATGCAATAAAGAGAAGCGTAATAAACCACTAGATTTTGCTCCAGATTACCATTCACCACTTGATGTAGAACCTTTGGATATGTGCATGCAACCGGAATTTAGTGTTCACCACATAACTCCGTGCAGTAGAAAAGGATTGCCAGGTGTAGAAACCAGCAAATCAGAGGATTCAGCACAAACTAGCCTTGGAAAGAAGAGGCAAGCATGCATTCTATTAACTTTGTTTTACTGCCTTCCATTCTCTCTCTTTTTTCTCTTCTTACTTTTCAGATTTAACAGGAAGAAGAATCCAGAGATTGAGGGACAAAAACGATGCAGTTGCAAGAGGTCCAAATGCCTGAAACTGTAAGCTTCTTCTGGATTTGTGCTGAATAGGATTTTATTCTGGCAGTCAATTTTATGCTTTATTCTATGTTCCTATTTTTCAGCTATTGTGATTGCTTTGCTGCTGGAATGTTTTGCAATAAAAGTTGTGCTTGCCAAGGATGTTCTAATAATTCAGAAAATGAAGAAATGGTCAGTTCAACAAGGCAACTGATAGAAGCTCGCAATCCACTTGCATTTGCTCCTAAAGTTGTGCATGCTAATGGTGATCTAAAAGAGAGTGCAGTAAGAGTTTTGACACATTTTTCAATTTTATTTGTTTCTCTTTTGTGAGGATAGAAAATAACAATCATGTTCTAGGATAATAAGCATATCACACCTCCTTCCGCAAGGCATAAAAGAGGGTGCAATTGCAAGAAGTCCAAGTGCTTGAAGAAATACTGTGAATGCTATCAGGTGTGTTTCTATTGCACTACTTTTTTTTTTTAATTTTTTTTATTTATGCGTTTCAGTTTTTATATGCTTACATTTTTCACCCGCATTTTTTTTTTTTTTGCGAAGGCTGGTGTTGGGTGTTCCTTGGGATGCCGTTGTGAAGGATGCAAGAATGTTTATGGGATGAAAGAAGGTATGCTTGAAACTAGCTTGGTATTGCCTTGATATTTTGTTGGCATTGCTAATTGTAGAAAGCTAACTAAAAGGAACCAAATGAATTGAGGCCTTTAAGTTGTTAATCACGGGAATAAGTTTTGTTTTAAGTTATAGTGTACTTATTGATTAGTTTTCATTAGTAGCAGAGCGGTAGTAAATTAGTAATTAATTGATTCATTTTCTAAACAGTTTTGTTGTCCTTAGAATGCTACATAAAGCCTATTGTTTTAGGTCCCTTTTTGGTGGATGCTTGTATGCGACCCTTCTAAATTTCCTTTCTTAAACAACTTATTTTTTAATCAATTTCATCACTTCAAGATGATGATAAAAATGAAAATAAGAAACAACGAAGTTAAGATTTAGAAAGAGCAATATGAACATAACAAAAGAAATGTGTAGGATATTCATATGGTGGCTTTCATAGGATGAATAGAAGACAAAAGCCTATCGGCGATCAAAGTTTTTCGCTCCTTCTAAATTCCAAATAAAATCTATGATTATTTCTCACATATGACCAGAAATCTAATTTATTTTTATTCTGTCACGATCCAGTCTGGGAGTTCGAAATTACCTAGGTGGGAATTGTTAATCGGATGGAAGAAAACTATCTAACAATTCAATTTCATAATAAAATAAAATCTAATGCAGAAAAGAGTCATTCAACTTTATAAAACTTATACTTACAAAAGTTTATTCACATTTAGATATTTACATGTAACAAAAAATAAAATTGAACTATAATACTTATCAGTCTGGACTCTTCGACGCATATATGCATATTCTTTGAGGTCAATCCAGTTTACAATTGATTTTTCTGTAAGTTATTAGTAACTAAAGGTTTGAGTTAAAACTCGCCAATGGACAAATATTTCACATTTTAAAATATTTTATAAAAAACAACAAATAGTAAAAGATTGTGCGCAGTAAAAGAAAACAATTTCATTTGTTTTCATTTATTTATGCTAAATTTTTTATTATTGAGAATCATTATTTAAATATATATTTAAAATAATATATGTTTAATCATTTCTAATTCATCATAGAGGCATACAAACATTTTTTTTTTAATTTTCATGCACAAGTACATTGCATTCTTCTACCAGTATTATCTAGGGATGACTCTCATATACATGCATATAACATACTTTATATCTGTTGTTACACTTAATATTTAAAAAGGTAAACATGGATTTTTTAAATTTTGAAAGAAACTTTGAAAGACACCAAAGACACGTGTAAATAAATAAAATTATCGTAAAATAAAAACATATTACTCACCTATATGATACAGTCAGATTGTACTTTTCCTTAGTTCAAATCTAATCTTTTGGCTTACTCACCTATAAGAAGAATTTAATTTATATCAATTCTATTTTCATTTCATTTAAAATTTTTGCATGCTAGATAATTTCATTGAAATATTCAAATTGTCTTTATCCCCATGAAATCTCCAATTTATTAATTATAACAACATTCCAATAATATTACTAAATAATAGCAACAATTAAATCAAATTTTTGTTAAAGCTTCTAAAATTTCATTCTAGCAAACTTAAATTTAATAATAATTTAATTCTAAACTAATTCTAAATTTAGAATTCTTCATTTCATTTTAAAATTCCTTAAATTAGGAAAATAACAATTAATTATTGCAATCAAACTTTATACCTGAATTTCCTCTCCTTTATCTTCCTTAGTTTCCTCATAAAAAATCCCTAAAATTTTAAAAATCAAATATTAGGATTTTTTAATTGGAATTACATTTCATAATTTAATTTAAATCAATTAGAATTAATAACTCAAGTAATTTAATATTTTACTTTATAAGCCTTCTGCCTAGCTCTAAAAATTTCGAACCGAGCAAATGAGCGTTTGATCGAACTCTCTCCAGTATGCCCAGAGCTAGCTTTGGCGTGCCGCTGCTTGCGCCAGGGGTTTCCGAAGCTCAGTCCAGGTCCCTGTAAGCCGCATGCTAAAGGGAAATTGGCTGATCCTCTCTTGTCTACCGAAGAGCTAGGGACGAAGGCCTTTGATCGGAGCATGAAGCTTTATTCGAATCTTTGGAGCTGTGCGAGATCCTCCTTCCTTTCACTGACTGCTCGCAAACACTTGACAAAGCCCCTCGAGCTCTGTCACATTCGATCGTGAGTGGAGGGAAACGCTGCTTGTCTTCGTCTTCTCCTCCTCTTCCCCCTCCTCTGCCTTTTCTTCTCTCTTTCTCTCACGGCTTCCTCTGGCTTGCTCTCGTTCTCCCTGTCTCTCTCGACTCCTCTGTTGAGTTCGAATGTGAGGAGATGACGAAAAATCGTTTCATTCGAACGACCTGTGAAACCACAGGGGTCGTAACAAATAAATTAAATTCATTTTCATTTTTTTATAATTATTTAAAATTTTTAAAATAAAGATTATTATTACGATCTTCACTTATAAAAATTTCATCCTCAAATTTTAAAGTATAAGAATATAGTTCATACCTTAATATAACATGTGAGGATGTATTTCTCTCATTTCTGATTCCTTCTCTCATGTGGCATCTTTTCAATTCCATGCTTCACTAATACACAAAAGTAATCTCTCTGCTCTTAAGCTGTTTCACATCATAATTTTGATTCTTTCTAGTTCATTCACAAATGTCAGGTTAGGTTGAACATTTATGAGGTCTATGACAACCTTATTAGCCTTAGTAGCAATATACTTCCACAATAAGGAAATATGAAACACATTATGTACCCGTACATATGTGCTAATAATGCAAGTCGGTAAGCCACTTTCCTAATTTTCTCTATATTTCATACGGACTAACATACCATGGACTCAACTTTTCAAACTTTTCGAATTCACATTTCATCAGACCGGCCTTCAGAAAAACAAATCCCCCCATTTCAAATTTCACCGGTCGGTGTTTAACATCATAATACTTTCTCTGCCTATCTTGGACAGCTCTCAGTCTATCATCAATCTGTCAGATATTTTTAGTTGTTTCGTCAACTAAATCAACTCTAATTTACTTCCTTTCACCAGCTTCTGCTCAACAAAGAGGTGTTATGCATTTCCTTCCATAAAAGACTTCATAGGGAGGCATGTCAATAATGGTATGGAAATTGTTACTATAGGAAAATTTTATTAGAGGTATATGCATTTCTCAACTTTTACCAAACTCAAGTACACAAACTTGAAGTTGATCCTTCAATATTTGGATCGTTTTCTTTGACTGACCGTCTGTTTAGAAATTAAAATTTGTACTGAATGTCAGTTGAGTACCTAGAATTTCTTGAACTTTTTTCTACAGTCTGGATGTGAATCTACTATCTCAATTTGACACAATAGATTTTGTGACTTTATGTAGTCTCACAATTTTATTGACATAAATTATGGCCAATTCGACTACAAAATCTATCTTTCTGAAAGTCAATAATTGTATAGACTTAGTCAAACGATCAATAATCACTCATGCAAAATCACGACCTTTCTTTGATCTCGGTAGCTTCATCACAGAGTCCATAGCAATGTCCTCTCATTTCGATTCTGGTATAGATAGCAGTTGCAACAACCCACTAGGCTTCTGATGCTTAGCCTTAATCATATGTCAATTAGGATACTTTGCCACTAACTTTTCTATATTGTTCTTCAACCGTGTCTACCAGAATAAATCTTTAAGCTCCTGTTACTTCTTGTTGCTTCTTGAATGTATCATGTATCATGAATAATGTCTCGTGTAGGATTTCTTTAC